GTGGGTTGGTATATATATATATATATATATATATATATATATCACCAGTTCATATGCCCTGGCCACATTGTTTATGTTATTCTAATTTCATTTTTATCTGGGTGATTCTTAACCTCCTAATGCCTAGGTTAGGTTATGGAACCTCATCTGTTTGGTTGAGGTTGGGTATATACCTAGCCATGATAGATGTTTTTCTCCATCATTATATTTTGGCAAACTGTCCCCTGACTTGCTGTTTCTCCTCTAGTGGGTATTGAGTTTGCTTTGAGTTTTCATTTCATAGGGTGGCTCTTCACCTACACGAGCCAGCTGTTTTCTTGTCTGGTTTGTGCGATTGAGAACAATTTGAACTTGTACCAATTTTTACTAAGGATTGCACCTCTCGGAACAAATTCAGCTTGTGCACATTTTTTTCCTTCCGTATCAGCTTCATTTCCTTCCTATGAGGCGAAGAGCATACCTGTTCCAGAAGTAGTGTAGTGCCTCACATGTGTGCTTTTCTTTTGTCTCTGAGCACACCAGTTATTTCTAGGCAGTCGCGTTCTACTTGGTTTTTACTGTTGAGTGCCTACACCAGCCCCTCCACCTATTCGATGTGAGATTCTAGCCGTGTGTGATAGGGGGTAAGACTGTATCAGAAGTTAACATTTTCTTACACTGAAAATGTTTTTCCTATAGGTACTTACCTCCTCTCACAAACTTCCCACCTTTCCTTCCCACTCCTGGTGTTATTCATTTTAGATCCTGCCAGTTCTCAAAAGTGAGGATTGAGTGGGAAAATCAGATGAAACTAGCTGTGCCAATATGGGTAGTACTATACTATTGGTGGAGGATGGTCACATGCTATATACATGTTGAAAAGTGGCACGAGATTTGTGAGGTATATAGACTGGTGCATTGAGTGTTAAGATTTTTTATCAATACTTAAGGGGCAGAAAGAAGACCGAGATTGCTTTGTGTGAAAGGAGTTAAGTACATGTCTGAAATACATTTTCAGTGGAAGAAAATGTTAACTTTTCACAGTATTTTTAAATATTCTGGTATAAAATCTTCTTAGATATAGCACATGTAATGTTATGAATAGTTATATAAGCAAATTGGAAAATAACTGTTACAGAAGTAATAAAAAGTCTTAGAATAAAAATGATTTTTTTGCAAAGTGTATTGTTTCTCAAAATGTCACCATCTAATTGGATTTTGATTAACTCTAAAATGCCTAAATGTGTAGATTCTACAAACCTGTTGTGTGGTTTATTTTATTGCATTGCAAAAAAATTCTTAGATCAAATAGTTTGAAACTTGAGATGAACTTTCTATCTGATGATGACAAAACCTTGTCGAAATGTTGTACATTTGCTTTTATGTTAAACTTATATTAAACTTTTTCTTCAGCCATCTCCAACCATTATTATTTCTACAGATTATGTTGCTTCTAAAAATAAAATTTCTTATTTTTATATTTCAGATTTGTATGAAAACTTTTTAAAGACCTAATTGAAAATTCTTAACTTTGTTGTAGATTTCAATTACTGATTTTTGTGTTTTTCTAAATTTTTGTAAAACTTTCTTAAAATTTTTTATTTTTTTAAAGATATTAGATTTATCTTTGTTTTGATTCCAAAAACACCAACTGTGTTTATAATTACTGGCTTATAACATTTTTACACACCAAAATTGTAAGCAAAACTAGCTTTCTTTAATTGTTAATCAGAAGGTTTCATTTAATATACAGGGGTTGGACAAAATAATGGAAACACCTAACATTTTGGAATCATAATCTTTGAA